GTGTACCATTTCAGATTTATCGCTATAAATATATATTTTTATAAATTAAATATCAAATTTTAAAATAATATAAGAGATACTAATATTTAAAGTTATGATATTCTTATAAATTAAAAATAAGTTTAAAATGATCATTTTTAGTCTCTCAACTTTTAATATATATATTTTTCGTCCATCCATTTTAAATTAACGAACTAAAAATGTTTATATTTAGATAAATTTAACAAAATAATTGATAGAAAGACTAAAAAAAATGAAAAATGGACTAAAAAAGTACATAAAAAAGTTAAATGATAAAAATTATATATGACATTAAAGTTGAGGAAAAAATGAAATTTACCATTTTAAATTTGAATTTGAATTGTACGGACAGCTTTTGTGTATTGCAGTTGCAGGTTTTGAAAAAGCCCTTTGCCCAAAACGACGTCGTTTTGGGCTAGGGGAATCCCTTTTTTTTTTTTTAATTTGCAGTGTACCGGCCGAAATTCTGATGAACCGGCCGGTACACCAAAATTTTGACCGATATATAGGATTTTGACCGAAATGATTAAATTTTGACCAAAATAAAAATTAATATTATATCATTTCGATTAATTGTCAAAATCGGTACGTACTGACCGTACCGATCGATACGATACGGTTTTGATTTCTTTGCAAAAATCACTTGATTCGAAAAATCAGATGTTATTATTATTATTATTATTATTATTATTATTATTATTATTATTATTATTATTATTATTGATTTAAATTTCTCTTGCACCAATGAACAAGTTCTAAAGTTGTTTCTTTTTCAGGGAAGACATCGAATAATATATGGTGAGTTTTAAAATTATTCACATAGAATTAATTGAAAAAGTTACACAAATAACATTCTGTGCACAATATTGCATGCACAATATTATATATGTACAGCATGTAGGTGACATTGTATATAGATTTTTTATTATATAATTAATTATTTTTATTTAAAAATTTATTTATAATATATATTATATATATTAAATATATGTGTCATACTTGTAGCTTTGCCGAAACTTAGTAGAACTCTGAGTTTTTTCTTTCTTTTTTTGTTCTTTACTGTTTTTGCTTTGTATTTTCTCATATACCATATTTTTCCCCCGTCCAAAGCAAAAAAGGTTTTAGATTGCCCCTTTTAATTTTGTATTTTGTATTTGAATGTTTTTATTTTGTTCTCATTATCTATATTCGACTAAAATTATTGTTACACTCTTAATTATTAATATAATATTTTTTATATTAATTAATTATTAAATTTTTTAAATTTATTAAAAAATATAAAATATAAATTTTTTTAAAATAATATAAAAATATAATAAATAATTATATTAAAAAAATATAATATTAACTAGTTAAGAGACGACAATCACCCCACCCTCCATATTCCACTAAAAATAATTGTCTTTTGCGCCGTCGATAATTGCGATAGGTTGCATTAAAAAAGTATTTGTAACGACTCTTATTGCCATAATTTGCGCTGAAAAAACGCATCGTAATTAGGAGTTTTCCTTTTTTTCGTTGGTAGTGTTCGCTATCAACATTCACAAGGCTGTGGAAAGCTACCTATAGCTTTCATTCTCAATTGTAGTAAACCTAACAGATCTTAGCAGTTTTCGAAGAAATATTAGCAGGGTTATTATATTTTTCAGCATCTAAACTGTAAATACTTTTTTTGTGAACATGAAAAATTATGAGAAATGGAGAATTCTTTCTAGTTAGTGAAAATTGAATTTTTAATTAACTAAATTTAAGTACTAATGTTGGGGAACAAACCATCCTTGATTAATTAAATTTAAGTACTAATATCTGGGGAAAAACCATTAATGTTTGGGAACAAACTATCTCAATTAATTAAATTTAAGCATTAATATCTGGGAACAAACCATTAGGTTCGAATATTCGATTCTTAAACTGTAAATTTATGAATGCCAGGCTTCTAAAGAAGTCTTTTCCTTTTCAAACTTAATGATATCTTGAATAAGTTTATCTGATCTACTGCGTATTTTTCAATGATTAACAAATTTAAAGAAAGAGTGATCAGGTTGAAGTTCAGGATTCATCTCTTCTTTACGTTAAGTTTATAATTTAAGTTAGTTTTTATGTGAAGTTTAAAATTTTAAGTTTGAGAAAAAAAGCACCAAAAAAATGTGAAAAGTGCTTTTCTTCTGAGTTAGTTTAGCATGATTTGGGAACACTCGTACCAACAAATAAAAAAACTGAATATGCCATGCGTATATATGTAGAATAAGGTCATGTATTAATAACTAGAGATAACAGTCGCTCTACGTGAGCGACCTTAATACATACATAACAAAATACTACATCAAAGTAAATTAAGATGGCTCCTAAGGGAGACCCATCCACATGGACTTTTTTTTATTATTTCTCCTTCAACTGAATATCGTAGTTTCTCCTCCAATTTCTCACTTGACCCTGCAATGAAACAAAAAAAAAAATCAGTACCGAGTTTTAAGAAAATTAAAATGAATATTAATGCCTAATGGTTTTTTAAAAGAAATTATAATACTTTGAGCAGTCAGTGCTGGGGCTGATGGCATAAGGAATGTTGACACCACACTTGCCGGGGAGCCCAGCTGCAAGGCCGTAGTTGATACCAGTCATGGATTTGGCGGTGTTCTTCAAGCAGTTGCATGCGGCTTGGCGGTCAGCTGTGGTCTTGGCAGCGGAATTCAGAGATTGGACGCCGGAGCAGCAGCCTGAGGATAGAGCTCCGCTGCCTGTCAGGTAGCCGATGCATGGAGTGAGCCCGCTTATGACCTCATTGCAGGTTAGGGCCTGAGCTACGGGTGCGCTCACCACCATGGAGAGAAGCACGACACAAGCAAGCTTGAGGGTCAAGGCGGAAGCCATGGCTGGAATGTATGAACTAGTTTATGGAACACTTGAGAAGAGAAGAGAGTGATGATGAGAAGGCAATAATTCGTGTGGGTATTTATAGGAAAAACTGAGTATATGAAATTCAAGAGAGATGGGCCTACGTAGGTGGAGGAACTTAATTGGTTGGTAACCGAATTTATTTTTCGGTTTCTCTCATTCATCTCTTGTTTGTTTACGGTTGGGGATCTTTAATGCCAAAGTTTCTAGATTGGAGAGTTTTCTTTTTCTTTTTCTGTTTTTTTCTTTTTCTTTTTCTTTTTCTTTCGCTTTTTAGAGAGTTTCGGTATACAAAGGATGTTTTACCCCTACACATTTAAAGGAGTAATTAATATATTTTATTTTATTAATTAATATTATATAAATTATTTTAATTAAATAAAAGTTAATTGGAGAGTTTTCTTTTTCTTTTTCTGTTTTTTTCTTTTTCTTTTTCTTTTTCTTTCGCTTTTTAGAGAGTTTCGGTATACAAAGGATGTTTTA